CGAGCAGAACCTCGCCTGATTCAGGAGGGAGTCCAGAACACTAGCCACAAGCGTCAGGATGCAGCGAGTTATCCCAGTGATTGGATACAAAACTCCAAATCTGACGAGGTGCGGTCCTTGGACGAGACCCTTTGTACCAGCCACCAAGAAAAAGCAGATGCCCAGTGCACAGGCAAAGCCCCAAGGAGACCTGGCACCAAAACCGTGTGAACATGACAAGTCCATCATGGCACACCTTAGAAGTAGAAGACTTCTTATTACGTACAGGGACACGACGTCGAAGCTGCCCTCCATCTTCCACACGTGCGCCCAATGATGCAAAGCACAAAGAGAGCCAGGAGCGCAAATTGACGTCCCACTGGCCGCGGTCTCCCCATGCCGCGGAATAACCCTTGAGCCGTACACGGCCTGCAAAGAAGCCCTTCCACACATCGCACTGCCGCGGCAATGGCGGCGCGACACACTTGAATGCTAAGGCGCCGTCAAACCGGATGTCGAAATTCGCCGGAAGATGAGCATCTGGGACCCTGCTTCGCTTTCTGCAACATTTGCCACAAGCGGATGCCTCCAAGACGCACAGCCTCACGGGCGGACTCTTCAAGGATCCAAGAAAAAGATGTGCATCTGTGCGACCTCAGCGCAAAAAGACGTGTTCCACGTTTCGGAGGCACCCACCTAGGGCCAATCAGGGGACCGAGGGCCAGAGGGCCGGACTGGGCAACGTGTGATACTCTGTCCCCGGAATTTCGCAGACCTTCGTCCCGTTGATGAACATCACCACGCCCTCATCGGGCTCGGAGGGCCAGAGCAAGGAGCAGACTGCAGAGGGCCGAGAGGGCCGAGGCCACGGCACCATCCGAGTGGTCCATTTTGCCCTTGGAGTTTCCTGCTCCACTGGCCTGCACGCTTGCATATGCTTGGATCCTGAAAACGTGGCACACAGCTCGCAAGACCTTGAGCTTGACGTGAGTCCACTGGTGCAGCGGCAGTTCGTTCCTAGGGAATGTGAACTTGCGAGAGATCCACCGGAAGCACACTTATCAGCCTGGCACCAGATGCACTCAATAAAGGATTCATGGAGCAGGAAGGCATGGCCATCAAAATGTCTTGAGATTAACATCGAGGGATACTTCTTATCAGACCTGTGCACACCAAGCGTCGGAGCTTCGCAGTGCTGCAGTTTGTTGTAGCTCCTTTACACGCGGAGCCACTCCAACCAGAGAAACGAAGACAACTCTTGTTGCTTTTTCTACCGCTCTTGTTCCTGATGCGGCAGATGCTGCAATTGTTACTACTGGCGCGTGTGTGTCCCCCCTGGTTGGGCTGTTAAACCCTAAACCGCCAAACCCACAGCGCCCAAAAATCTCCACCCATTTAACTGGAAGGCATCTGACCATTCATCGACCCACCCACCCCATAACAGAGCCAAATCCCCAAACCCAGGACACGGAAAAGGAAACAGCAATCTGTGAAGCAGAGGTTGGTGAGAAAATTGAACGACAAAACAGACTAAGCAAGCCAGAACAAGCAGCCTCGCCTCCAAACCTTGAGAGGAATCACGACACGCTACAACGATCCTTAAATCCTGAAGCCGAGCCGCTGCCGAGCGCACACCCTCAAAACGAGATAGCCCCACGTACGCAGGCAGCGCCTCCTGTCCAATGTTTCGTTCTGCCCAACAGCATCCATGGTGATTTGAAGGTGCGTCCTGGCTCAGATCATCCGGTATTTGCATCGCTACACTCTAGCAGGGAGCATGCGCTTTGATACTGAAAGCAGTTGCGGCTTACTCCGATCAGTTTATTCGGATGCATGGCAGAAACCGCACAGCTCTGGCTCAGATTTTGCGACAGGCCATGGTTCTTTCAAGCCTGGGGCTTTTGCACTTGCCGGTTTTCAGTGTTCTCCAATGCTTGGGAAAAACCCACCGCACATTGAAACACTTGGAGCCCGAAATGTTTCTGAAAGCTTGACAGCGACAGTCCGTTGAACAGCACACATGATCGATCCAGCATACACCGGCCATCAACAATGGTGAAGCAGCAAGCATGACAGGCACGCGTGCCGTTCGAAAAATATGCGAACGGTATACCTGCCAGGTCGCACGATGTAGCAGAGGAACCAGATCTGTACAATGCTGAACGCTCTATCTCCATGTATGTGTATGCATATGTATATATATGTATATATACATATGTTATGTAGATGTCCATATATATATATACATACAT